AGATCAAAACAAATTAAAAAAATTAATTTTCTTTTATTTTTTTTGGTCTAAACTATGAGGTGGTCCTGGATGGGCCCCAACTATGGGTGGCACCTTTAAGCCTTAACCACAACCCAGACTAATCCCCACTCACACCGGGTCGGCCCGTAAGGGGTAAAGTGTTGGCCAAAGTGGTGACTCCGTACGAGAGCAGGAATCGAACCCCTGACCTCTCTTAAGGAATGAGAGTGCCGAACCACTCACACCAACGACCTTGGTTAATTTTCTTTTATTTCTACTGCATGACATATTAATCTATATATATAAAGCAAAAGGCAGAAAAGGATAAAACATTCAAAATACCAGAAAATGCCCTTGGTTAATGCAAATATTAAGAATTGAAATTATTAATTAAATGAGGATAATATGGTAAATTCTCACTTTTTCATATTAAAAAAAATTAAAATTAAAAGAAAAATCAGATAATGGATCCTATTTTTATGGAACACAACTACCCATTATCTTTTTTAATTCTAAAATAGATTTAATTTTTTTTTTAAAAAGCCTCTTGCAATAAAACACGTTTCTAACCCCCAAATCTCTGAATGTGTTCTTCTTCCTCCCATCACCCGCCACTGCAGCACCTCCGACTCCGGCATCACGAGCGAAACCATGTTAAATTTTAGAAAGATAGGCTAGAAGCCCACTACTAACAACACAAATATTGTTCCCAACTTAACCATCTATAAAACCTAGTATGTATGAGGTTTTATCACAAAAAGGCTTCGATATTATTAATAGTAAAAAAATTCATTATATTTTGTATATTATTTAGTCAAGTTTCCGATGTTTCAACAAGGTAGGGGTATATACAAGCACTGAGACTTTGGTTGTTTCTTTCAATCATTGCAAAAAGCTCCAAAATCCCCACCCACTATCACCAAAACAAGACCTCTAGTTTCTCTAAGGCAACTTGCACTCTGCACACCAGTATTACCTTGAAATTTATTTCAGCACTGAAGCGTCATCCCCCACCAGATGTCCTTGAGCGAAATGAAGCTTGGAACATGACTTATTGCTTCAAATTGTGGATTATCCAAGATTTTTGTGCACCATAATCTTCCATCAATCTAAAAGAACAATTTACGTTCTCTCTCTCTCTCTGTGACTGTATTCTACATATATTTTTAGAATAAAATGAGATGCACTAATCATACCATAACTATTTGGTAAATCATCGATCCGATTGAATATTCATGTCATCCATCTTGGTAAGCAAATTCATTTTTCGAAATAAAACTTGCTCTTGATCTCCTTCAACAAAAATCTTGTAAGATTACTGCAATCAAACAAAAGTAAATGTGTGTCTATTCTTGCACTGAGTAGAGTAAAAAGGAGAGAGGGAGTACAAAGAATCTCAATCCTTAATGCATTTCTTAATGATAGAACTGGCAAACTTGTGCAGGGGACATCAAGGAGGCATACTCACATGTATAAAAAAGCATCAAACATCACGATATTATCACTATCTTAAGAATGCGAAAAACGTTTGCTCTGTAGGATTCGCATGGTACCAATAAAGAAGATTTTCAATCAGTGGCGGAGCCACCAAAGGACTAAAATGGGCCCATATGCCCCCTCTCATATTTTTAATTTTTAATTTTTTAAAAATGGTTACTTATATATATGAGTGTGATATTTTTTCTGAATTTTTCTTTTATAGGAGTTAATAAAAATCTAAACATTCACATCACTCACCAACCAAAATAAGTCTAAACTAAACTAACCAAGGTATCACGATATTATAATATCGTGATACCTTGGTTAAGATTGCGAAAAAGGTTTGTCCTATGATAATCACGTGATACCAATTAAAAAGATTCAAATCCCTAGAAAATAAATGTAACTCACCTGAAAAAGAGAGAATATGTAACAAATTAGTAGTCAAAGTAGTCTCCGCATGAAACCCTTAATAATTGTTGAAATAGAAAGATGAAAAAAAAAACTTAACTGCATTAAGAAATCATAATTGAAAAAGAAAACACCTAGAAAGCCTAATTGACCAAGAAAATGTAAAATTATTAAATTATTGTAAATAATACGAACTGCAAGAAAGTAATAAAAATATGAAAATTATCCCGGTTAAATTAGGGCACATCGCGCGTCTGCCAGAACAAGTTGTGGGATTGCCATGCCTGTGTTTAAGTCAAGCTTGAAAGATCTTTGAGAATACTTCCAAGCACCTTCTTATCTTCTAGCAGCATACACACTAGAAAAAAAGGCTAAAGAGATGTACGCAATTCACCTCATATCCCTTCCTTTATTGATAACAGACTTACACAAATTAAAACAACACTAGAGTCCCACATCGGAAGCTTATTGAAATATAGGAAGACTTATAAGGCCTTATACTGAGGTTTATAATTGCCAAGTCTAGTAGTGTGGGCTTGTAACTAGGCCTCATCATTTGGCCCACGGGCTCATGGGCCGATGGGGGCCCGCCCGGCCCATCGAAAAAAAGCCCGGCCCGGCCCATTATGGGCTTTGAGATGGCCCGGCCCGTTTTGGGCCGGATCGGGCTTGGGCTTGAGTGTTTGAAGCCCGGCCCGACCCATAGGCCCGGCCCGACCCATAGGCCCGGCCCGATTAGGCCCAAGAAAGCCCGGCCCGGCCCTCCCACAAAAGCCCGGCCTGTTAGGCCCGCATACATATATAATTATGTATAAATAAGAGTTTAGGATTAGGATTATATCACTTAAATCACATATATAATTTGTTTCATTTCATTTACTTTTCTTTACTCATTCCTAGTTTTATAATTGGATGATTAGCACATTAATTTAATTTGTGTCAATTATTAATACAACAATTATATATATATAAATAAGATGAACAACATATCATATCACCAAATATAATCATATCACGAAACATAATCGTACCACCAAATATAATCATGCTTTTTGAACACATCACCAAACATTTGCATATTTATTCATACCATCCTTTAAAAAAAAATAAAAATTTATACTTATTATTTTTAAAAATTATTTCTTAAAACGTATTACGGTCTAATTATGTAATAACCTCAAAAACAATACTTGGTTTTATTATTTTTGTAGAAAATCTTATTAAGTTGTGTGACTTTATTAGGTGTTTTATGAATTTGGTTTGATGTGAAAATATTGGAATTAAGTGAGTTTAATCTCAAATTTGGACTAAAATGCCCTTATGATTAAGTTTATGATTTTTTTCGATTGAAGTAGGCCCGTTTTGGCCCGGCCCGTTGGGCTTAGCCCAGCCCGGCCCGTTGGGCTTTCTCAAGCCCGGCTCATGGGTCGGGCTTGGGCTTTGAATTTTAT